CTCCTTCGCACGGTTCTCGGAACCCTTACCCCGAACCTGTCCGGAAACGAATTTGTTGAGCCAAACTGTTTCAGGATGTCCTGTGTTGTCCTATATATGTCCCCCATTGCACCAGTTTAAACTGAGACTTTGTGAATCGTAACGTCGCAAGTTGTTTGACGAGAATTAACCGCCCTGCTGCCTTTGGCTTTGGCAAATGGCCAGACCAATGCCCCAAAAGGTCAATCTGTCAAACACAACGTGAAGGCAAAAAGCCAAAGAACAAAAGCAAGCATCTAACATGAGGGTGTGTGTGACCAAGTATATGTATATACTATATATTTATATATTATATATTTATATATTGTGTATATGTAGAGATCTGTTTTTTCCCAGAAGGTCCGGGTCCGTTCTGGATTGATCAGTGAAGCGTCCTCGGTCCATCGGGCCGTGTCCAGCTGGCGATCATTGTGCCGGGCGCCTGGCTGGGAGTGATCCTGGCCTACCAGGTCCAGGCAGGGCCCCAGGGCACTGCCTGCCGCCGCCTTTTCTTTCTTTTTGTTCTTTCTTTTTTTCTGGCGACCGGTGGAAGCTGACCCGAAAAAAAGATAAGGGTCTGCTGGAAAAGAAGTGGTGGTTGCCAGTTCGGGTCCTTAGGATTTTAAAGGTTTGTAGTTGGTTTAGTGGTTGGGTGTCCATTTAACCCACCAAAAGCAAAACTTTTTGACGGGAATTTGAGGACAGCCCAGAAATGTCGGGGGCCATGACCCCTGGGGTCATACAGAGTCCTGGTAACTTGTTTTTGTTAACGCATTTGAAAACCCGCAAACTGTTGATAGGGGACCCCCTATTTTGTTGACCTACCATATTCACCTCGCCTTGAATTGCACGGTTGCTCACCCTAGATTTGAGGCAACCTAGAAGCCAACATGGAACAAGTTTGCACATGACTTTTGGTTGCATGTTCCCCATAGGAACGCCTTAGGGCAAGCAACCCAAATGGGTAATGCTCATTTTGCATTTTTCCACTTTTTGTCACGGTCAGCCTTTTTAGTTGGAACATGATCCGTTCCAGGGGCAAGATCCATCACTTGTTGGCTCGCAACCTCACCCCTGGTTTTCCGGTTCCTTGCTCGTGGAAGCCGGAACCTGATCCCCCCAAATGTACGGCAGATGCTCGCGGCATGGTGCGGAGCCATCGCGCTGGCTTTTGATTTTGGTGAAGCTCCCAACAAAAACGATGCCTAAAGGATTGGCGCATTTCAATCAAACTCCCTTGAGCTTTGGATCAAGATTCTTGCACAATCTAGTCTGGTGGCTCCCAGCCATCTGGTTCCTGGCTTTGTAGTTGTTTAGTGTTTTAAAGTTTGGTGGTTGGGTGTCCATTTGGCCCACTAAAAGTTAAACTTTTAGCGGGGGATCTGAGGACAGCGAATCTAGAAGCAGTCTTACCTTCTAAGATTGCACTCTTATTCAATACGACGAGTTGAATAGTAGATGTGGCAAACCCGAAGGCGGAAACATGGGTTGTCACAGGGGCGCCGGTGTTGTTCAATCTCGCCTTAGTTTGGCTTGCTAGAGTTCACGCCGAGCAGAGTCACAAGAATATGAACCGCCAAGCAATATGCTGTTTTTGAGGCCCCCCCAAAAGAAAGTAGCAAGATGTAGCAAGCAAACTCACAGTGGTTTTCCTTTGGTTTCCGTTTAAAGTCAGCCCAAAAAGGGTTCCCTCAAAATAGACGAACCCAAATGGATCCAAGGACGTGTTTGATACAAGTCCCTTCTACTATAGGACAGTTTGATTCAGATGTTGATGAGTTTCATGAGCAGGCCATCATGTTCACGGCCTCGCCGTCTATGGCAGATTCCTTTGTGGGACGATTCTACTGGATCATTGCTGTTCTGGCAGCGCTGGCCTTTGCCTACCTCGCCCATGTCTTCAAGGACGGGCCTTGAGGCATATAGCAGGGACCGAAGGGAAACCATGATGTAAAACCGAGAGGTAAGAAACCCGATCGGATACCAACTACTGTGTCGTCCCTGGAAACACTGGCATAGGTCAGGGTGTGAATTTCAAAGAGGGACCCGGACATCATGAAGGTGGGAGGGGGTCCATAATTGAGGTTCTGAGCTATATGAGCAAGGGGTCACGCTTTCACAACTGTATTGGTTTTGGGTGGTCCCCCCTGTTGCTTTGTTTTGCTATACTGCCTATTCACATGTTTAATGTGGAGGATCCCTGCTTCGATTCTAATGGTTGGAATCTTGACTCCAAGTGTGACCGCCGCAAGACACAGACATACAGCCACAGCTCTCGCACTACTCGCACTTCTACGTGCGAAAGCGAGACATTGAAGCTGCGGCTGGGCGTCCACAACACATGGCAACAAAGCCGACCTTGCCACTTCCCGGAAACGATTTCTGTTCTTAAGAGGCATGACTATCAACGGATGTTGAGCGTTTGGCTGTGATTTCTCAAAATATTCTCTCTTGTGAGGGCAAGTCTCAGTTGCCCAAAGCTGACCTTTTGACCTTTTGGCCTTTTGGCCTTTTGGCTTTTCCATGTTGGTCCATATTTGGTAGAGGTGCCAAAAGGTTAATCTTGCATGTCCGGGTCTTTTGGGCAAGTGAGAAGTTGAAGTGGCAGTCCAAATAATAACGCTCTGCCCAGCACGACATCTTCATCCTGGTGACCTCGGTCTTGGGTGCTGGTCTCTTCGAGGTGGCTTTGCGAGGCATCTTGCTGGACTACTTCTCGGTGGAGATGTCGTCCTTGGCCTCGTTGCTCTGCATGGTGGCAGCACTGGTGGTTGGCCTTTCAGTTCAGACGCTTGGCTGAGCATATATACAGGGGGGGACTTGGGACCCGTGCTGGCTGGACCCCAAAATCCGGGACTTGGGGGGGTTTGATCTCTGATGGGTTCTATGGGCTTGGATGTGCTTTGGCACTTTAGCGCCTGCTTTCTGTTTTTCCCCCAAGTCCTTGCTGAGCTTCATGGTGAGAGTTGGAGGGTGTCAGCAGCTGTTTGTGCAGGTCAGTTTAGAGCGACCCCCTTGATAACGGAACCCCCTCGTGATGCCAGTTTTGACTGTTCAGTCCTGTGGTGAAGAACTCACTTCCTGAGTCCTGAGTTCCAGGACTTTATACTCTTTGGGTTGATCATTAAGGTGGTAAAAACAAAAGTTCCACACTTGTTTGGCCAATCCACTCAGGAAAAACAAATGCAAAAAGCGGCCATGGGCCGATTTCTCACTCCCCCAAGGCTTGTGCACGAGGGGCGGAAAAAGGCCGCAGACCAGAAAAATGTCCACCTCAAGATGAGAGAAACCCTTCCCCCCAACCCCAAGGGTCACAGAATTGTCCGATGGCTGTTGGTCAATTTCCTTGACAAGCCGAGCCGGATTGTGAGATTCTAAATATGTTCTGAGATTCGGATTTTGCAAATATGCGGGGCTTTACAACTTGAGACTCGGGGATCGACCCGTGTAGTCTTAAGAGGGCGCGGAGATGAATCTCAAGGAATCAGGCCATTTTTGTGTGCAAATTCAGGCAAACTGGGCTCTGAGGCCCTATGTCTTAAGGCGTATCAAAAAGGTTACTAGTTCTCGCAGATCAGTTTGCCTGACTGGCGAATCATGTGCCTGCCATGGAATCAGTTTCGGTTGGGGCGTCACCCTTCACTCCCCTCAACACTAGCAACTGGCTGCGAGGCACCGATCTTACGCCAAGTCGGATTGAGCGAAGTCGGATCGCCAGCTCCGAAGCCATGCTGCCGAACAGTTGGCAGGAAAACGCGCGATGAGTTGGTTGGATGGGTCGCAAGGGTTGTGGGGATGGTGAGGAACAATGGTTATGGGGATACAATGGTTGTGGGGATGAGCAAAGTGGGGAGGGACAATGAGGAACAAGGTATGAGGGAGATGGGAGTGTGGGGAAAAGCTTGCAATCTGTGAGAGACTGGAGGGGGAAGTCAGTGAATTGCAATTGGCCAGCCAACAGCCTGCCGTCAATTCACTTGGAATACCAGGTGGTTGCTTTGAACCGGTGTTGACGTTGGTCAAGCATCTTCAGGAAATATTCAACAACCCTTGAAAGGAATCATACATCGCACTGAACCACACCACACGCAAGAGTTGTCAGATGTGTTTATGTGTTTTCCCTATGTTCAAGTTGATACACAAATTGAACTGTAGCCAGCTGGATCATGGGGCAGAGTCAAGCTTGTTTGTGACTAGGTCCCCCAGAAGTGCTCTTTCTCACCTTTTTTTTGGTTGGGAGGGTCCCCTTACTAAAATAGACAAAACCGAAAAAAAAAAAATCGGGTACCAACTTATTCTAACCTCTCAAATCTGGAAGAAATAGATGAAGGTTGTTGCCGCCACATGGCATTGCCTCTCGACCGATAGGATGAGCCCTTTGACGAGTTGAGGCAGCCCACGACTCCTTTAGACCTCGCATGAGCTCAACATGCCTCTGCCGCGGTTGTGAAAGGAATCTAAACGGTCCAAAAGGACAATGGGACTTGGGCAAATTATGCAAACATTAGTTTGCGGAACTACTGATGTTTATCCCACCATTTCAAGGTTTCATCAATCCCAAGTGGTTCAGGATTTCGTCCACCCAAAGTATGACCCTTGTCAGTTGAAACTGAGAAGCCAGTGGAGAACATCACCTTACGTTGCTGAGGCTGCTGGCTGGGTACGTTCCCCATCCTTGGGTTGGGGCACGGATCCTTTGGGTGGCACATCCAGTTTTCCAAAAGACCAGCTCTCTAAGAATCCGTTGTAGTGTCGCCGAAATTGGACCGAGTCGCCTTGATCATGGATCTGGGTTTACTGGATGGTTCCTTTGGGTAAGAATTCCACAGAGTGAAATCCCTGTGTCCTGACCATGGGTGATTGGCCCAAACTGTTATTTTTAGCCAAGTGACCTGCTTGGCTCGCGCGCACTTGGGACAATGGATCCTTGTTTTCAGGCAGCACATCGTTTGCGAGGCAAAGGGAACGGACGGAATCGCGAGGCGCGGCTTTGCACGGCCTGGCTTCTTCAAGCACGCGCGAGCAGCCTGCGAGCTCAGGACAGCGGGTCTCACTGGAGCGGTTTGGGCTTTAAGCAATTACCAGTACTTCCACTTGCTGAAATTAATATTTGTTCTATTCCCAACAACATCAACCTGTCAAGTGCCTTTTGCCAGGGCCACCGAATTAGGTAAAATCGGATCCAACACCAGAAGCCCTGCTGAGTAGGGTTTTGGCACTCCACTTTGGCTGGTTCCACACGGAGCACACAAGAAGAAACACCGAGGGGCCCAGAACTTGGGTGCCGGGCGTCACGTGCTTCCATGTCCCAGAGGTTTCCTTTACGTTTCCTTTTGCCTGGATGTTTTTGGGGTCAAACCCAGGTGTTTCATGGCGGCTGCTAGATGGTGGGCTCGAAACTTTTAGGACCTTTGTAAGAATTCCCGTGTGTGTGCCAAACACCACAACAAATGGTCAAACCCAAAGGCAATCACAGGATAATGATCATTCGCCCCACCCCTGTTGACCAATTCAGCCTGAGTGGCCATCATTTAGCATGTGTTTTGACCTTGAGGACTTTGGGATCATTTGCCTCTACCGAGCCCATGCTGAAGCTTGTGCCAGTGCGGCGCGCGCAGGCCAGTCGGACCGACAGATCGGGGTCAAATGGGGGATTGGACGGCTCCCGGTGTGGTGTTTACATTGCACTTGGAGTCTGTTCCTGCTTTTCCCCTAGGAGCATACCACTTTGAGGCTCATGGAGATCAGATCCAAGTTCCGTCAACCCGAAACGCGTAAACGCGTAAACGCGACACCAGTGTTACAGCTTCAATTGGTCGCAAGGGTGCCAGGTGATCTAACTGCCAAGTGCCGATGTGCGAATGGCCACGGATCGTGTTGGTAACGGGCACCCTTTCAGTTCCTTACTCAGAACTGTTAGGGAGGTGTTTTGATTTGTGTCAAATCGTCAGAAGGACCACAACGAATGGATCAAACTGCAACGGGGGGAACAACTGAAGTTTCCTGCCATCATCCTTCAAGGACGTTTCAGTTCAGGCTACCTTGATATATTTTGAGCCACACTTGCATGTTCCCTCTATGCGCAAGTCTTGCTCCCCCACTGCGTCTTCAATAGCAGAAACGCAGGATTGGTTTCTAATTAGAGAGAATGCTCCAAATAACATGGGCGGCGATGCTCGTCTTTCTTTCCAGACCCATTTCCAGCGTCCATCTCCGCAAGGCGACTTGCAGGTGGAGGCTGCTACAGTGGATGCCTTTCAAGGCCCTGCCGGCTTACCAACTGGACTAGGTCCCCCAGTAGTGCCCTGTCTCACCCCTTTCTTGGTTGGGAGGGGTTCCCCCTGCTGAAATAGACTACAGAGAAAAAGGGTACCCTTATTCTAACCTCTCGACTGGAGGACCTAGTTGAAGGTCCTTTCAGGATCCGTATCAGATTGTGGAAGTTGTGTAAATCCTGCAATTGAGTGGATGCGGCAAGCAGCCGTGAGAGATCGGGTTCCTTGGTCGGTGAATCATGAGGATATCTTCTAGGGATGCATTCAGCTTTGAACTGCAGCCACCAGATGGGGGCGGATTTGTCAAAGTGTGAGGTAGTGACGTTTGCTCCACACGCGCCATGGTCAGACCGCCTGTGGGGCTGATGGGCATGGTATGGCATGGTTTTTCACCGTGTTGAAAGAGCAGCGAGGAGTTTCGAGCTTGGGCTGTGAAACCTATCCCAAGCAGGACCAAAACTCCGGGTCAGGCCGGGATGGGAAACCATGATATCAGTTGAGCAGGGAGCTGACAAAGGCCCACTTAACCTCAACCCGCTCACAGGTGGGAAATCAATAAGCCTCATCAAGACTCCGCCTAATTAAGATTCTTCACGATCAGGGGAAGATTGTGGGGTGTCTTTTGGGGTCCCTGACGGGATGACGGACTTTACCAACTCATTCCCTTCTAGGGCCTCTCTCAGACCTCGCATGCCATGTGACTCTGACTATTCATCAATGGAATCTTCTGGAAGAAGGGGTTCGCAGTTCAAACTGGAAACCCCTGGAAAAATGCTGGAGTGTTCACCTTATCAGGGATAAAACTGTAGGATACCTGGTTGGCCTATAGCTAAATAGGGATCGCCCGGAAACGGCAAATGGCATGGTCTCCCAAAAGGATTGCGGAAATTCCACGAACGTTTTTTGTTGTTGTTGTAATATCATCATGCCCAGTGCTTCCGTTACCTGTGTAGTTGGTAACCAGCTTGGTTACCTACTATATTGGTATCTGGCCGGCAGTTCCCAGAACCACAGAAAAGGCTACACAATAGAGGGCAGAACCGTGAAACAGAGTGCCGAAACCGTGAAATAGGCGGGTGGAACCGTGAATTGGGAGGCCGGACCCGTGAAGACCGTGAGATGGGAATCATGTTCCTACTTTGTTGGGAACCGAGCTTGGTTCCAGAAAATGGTAACCAGGGGCCAGTTACCAGCTATACAGGTAACAAGGAAGCGCTGGGATGGTTTTCTGACACCCTTAGTGTTTCTCATTGACTCTGCCGGTGCTAGTTCCAAAGCTTCCAGCGTGTTGGGGTGTGTTGTAAGCCATGGAGACAGATTTGAAAGACTAGCACTGCTTCAGAAAGTTTCTTAGGATCACTGCAGAACGGTCCATGCCAGAAAAGAAGCCACAGACACACACAATCATGTTTTCTTTGTGGGCCGCTGCCTAGTAGGGGTTTCTGTGGTTTTCTTCCATGACCCATTTTGTTCTGATCAATCCGGGACCCTGAACATATGTTAAATGGACTTGGGGCATCTCAGAAACCAAAATGGTTCGGTTTCGGCTTCCCTTGAGATTGGTGGTTTGGATTGGGGGTTTAAACCTTTGGTTCTTGTGGATTAGACGGGTAGACCATTCCCTAACCTCCAAACTAATCCAATCCAGCCAGAGGGAAGCTGTTCAATGTCGACCAATCATGACCCCCTCTTTAAAGTGTGGAGGGTGTCCAACTGGTTTCAGTGGGGTTTCAGACCACTCTTGGCGGGAACCAGCCAAGAATCATTCCTCGGGGGTGGCGGGAAATCCGGACCTCGGTGAGCTCTCGGCAGGCGGTGAGCGGGAAGTCATCGCGCTGTGCTGCGGGCGCCCCTCGGGCGAGCAACACTGCGCCCGGGGGGTGGGTGGGTTGGTCACACGGGGGGCGAGTACCTCACAGATGCTCAAGCTCCAGCCATGACGGTAACAACCTGCAAGGATCCAAAGTGGGACTGCGTCTAGTTGTTCTCTCACTGTTCTAACATGTTCTAGTGAGTGTTTCCTTGGAAGAAGTGTGGCAGGGAGAGGAACGGACCAGCAAAAAGACATTTCGGCGAACTTAGCTGAGTATGTGATTTGCAGGCCAGCTGATTCAATATTGCTGCCACTTGAGACACTCTAACCGTTCGATCCCCTTCTGTCGCTTTAAAGACTTCTTGTGTATGCTGCCGACAAGCCTGAGGAACAGACGCCGCGAGACACGGGTATTGGGATAAGGCTTCGAAGGGTTTGCTTCACGACGCTTAAAACGGCTGCGTGTGCTGAACGTGCCGCAGGCCTTGATTAAAAATACTGGAATCATTTATCAAACGAAGTTTTGCAGATGAGCAGTTGCGCTTGCCATTTTCTTATTGAGACAATGTCCTTTTGTGTTCCTTTTACATGGAGATTCTTCCAGCCGACGCGGCGACGCTGTGGCTGTTTCTGGGGCAGGTGGCAGGTCTCGAAGGAACGGCTTTGGAGCCAATGGTTCCTTGGTAGTTCCTGACTTTCCTCCGGTGTTTCCCGGGAAACCCAAGCTCCCCTGTGTTTTTGGTGTTCTCTTGATGTTCCTCGGTTTGCCCGGTGGCTTTGGGGGGAAACCCAGAATGTGGTCCCCAAAGCTGCAAGTTTCCACGCCTGTTTGCAAGGACAGGAGTCCCTTGCTTGAAACCTTTCTTTTACAGGCTGCCCAATCAGTGCCTGGATTAGACATCTTATATTTGTTCAATCCTGCTTCATTGGCGTCTCATTCAAGAATGAGGAACGCTCCAGGTTGTGGAAAAATGCCTTTATCGTCTCCCAAAGTACGACATGATATGTCCCCTGGCCAGATGTATTCTTCCTGAGGCTCTTCCCCTGTATCTGGCGACAGCTTTACTTGCTGCCCCTTCCGCCTGCTCGTAGCCTTGTGCCAGCCTTGGTGCGACTGTCCCGGGTTTTACTCACTCTTTTCCGCAAGCTTCGAGACATGAACAATATGGGGGTTGATCAATATTTCATTCAGGGCTTCAATTTTGAGCATGGGTAACTTTGGCCAGGTGGTGAACGTCGAAACCGTTTTTGGTGGTTTCCCTAATGGTCACCCATGTAAGGGGCTTTGATCAAGCTTCATGTGAGTCTTCTTGTTGGATGGCTTTCAAGGGCAACAGGACCCCAATTTTGAGAAGCCACAATATGCAAGCAAAGGCGTTTCCAAGTCAAAGCACTTTGCATGTTGAGGCATATCCAAACTCTCGTGTGTAGGTTGTCAAAGGGCACCAGCATAAAACTCCAACCACTCAGAGTCTCCAAACATGAGTTGAGGGTCAGAATATCTAGTTGCCAACCTCTGGTCTGCTTTATGAGAATACTCACGGTCAACAGCTCTTGGAACCTCCAAATTGGCTTTGTGGCTTCCGCAGGTCAACCAAACTGGCTCCAACAAGTTGTGACACGCATACCAATGAGTGTACCTTTGTGCATTGTAGATCTCGTAAAGAGAAAACCTCACCTTGCGTGATCCTTGATGCTTCAAGTTCTAAGCGAAGACAATGACTGTCTCGCAGATCCGTGCTGGACCTTTGAAGTCTTCTCAGGACTCCGGGCTTTGCAAGTGCTTTAAGCGGTTGGATTTGAAGCAAAGCACAAGACGCACACGGAGGTCGGCACAATGCCGCTCGCAAATCCATCCCATGGAAACCGCGAGTGCTTGCCTTGATTGACGTTCGAAGCGTTAGATGTGTTCTGAGTGTGACTGAATGATAAGCTTAGCTGCCAGCCGCGCATGCTCTTTTTGTCTGTTTTGCGCTATTTGGCGTTGTTTTGTTCTTGAGCCTTGCTGAATATGCATCTCGACTTGAGCCGCTTCGTGTTTGGTTATGCGTGGCTTGGGCTCAATGTTCCCCACTTCGGGGCGAGTGCAATGCAGTGGTCGGAACTCTCATGTGAGGTGCCATCACGTAAAACGCCAGCACAAGATCGAACATGTGTGTGTGTGCGCGCGCGTGTGTGTGTGTGTGGGGTCTAATCCTCAGAAAAGGCCCAGATTGTTTCTCTTGATATTTTTTCTGGGGCAACACCAGGACCGTTTGGTGCAAATTTGACCAGTGTTGTTGTCTGGCGTCGTATGCAGATGGGGTCCACCTAGGGCCCAGGACTTCGATTCGAATCTCAGGTTAGAGGCTTATCCAATTCCAGGTCCAACATTCAAGGGACCACGGGTCCTCTCATAAACCCTGGGTTTAGGCAGGCCACCATGAAAACAATAGAGGACCTTTGTTTGCCGGAGGATGGTCATCATCTAAATTGAGTCAACCATTCTTTGAAGGGGGGGGTGATTCCTAGGGTCAAGGTTTCCAGTTGCCGGAGCAATGATGCATGTGGAACCTATGGGCGAGCCAAAAACATGAATTGGACCTTCGGGGCTGTGCACTTCCACTGGGAATTTGGAGGTCCCGGGCGCGGCGTCACGTGGTGATCTTCGGCACTGAGAGCTTTTTGTCCAGCCATCCGATCTTCAGCCTCGATGCCCAGTCGTTGCGAGTCGATCCGTTTGGATCTCTTCCATTTGCTTAAGATTATTGTTTTTTTTCTTCTTTTTTTCCCCTGTTGGTTGTGAAGGGAATTTTTCATTGTTGAAAATATCTTTATTTTTCCCAGGGCCCTTAACCAAATGGATCTGGGTGGCTGGTCTGTGGTTTAGAGCCCTCTTTTGCTTGGTTTTCGGCTTTGTAGGAAAGCCGAAGGGACAACCGAAAACACGTTGAAAAGAGTCCCATGAAACGACGCGCCACCCAGATCCGGTTTTTCCAACGTCCATGGTCAAGGCCCCGAAAGTTGATCTCTAGGTCCTATGAGGGGCAACTGAGTTGAGCATCTTCGGGTGCTTCTGAAAGTCCATAAATAAGACGGTGTTCCTTCGAGGTTTCCCTTTGAATTCACGGGTACCCTCAGCAAAAAATAGTAAGACCCATGTTCAGCTGAATTTGGTCATGGTCTATGGGCTTTTGATGCCGTGCATATTTCCAGGGCTTTGGGCCGTTGTCTCAGGGTGAGCGTGCTTGAAAAGATGGAGCTTCCTTAGTTTTCGCATAGGGAATGGTTATCAGATATGGCTCATATCACCATGTAGCCATTGCTGTTTTATGTATTGTAGCAGGTCATATTTGTCGTACTAAAATGGAGCCTTGGTCATCGTATGCGTCAAATATTTGAAGCACCTACTCCACCGGGTGGTGGTCTTGGTGCTGCAGCTTGGTCGTCAGACTGCCACTTTGCAACTTGGTTCGGCGATCACAAGCCCAGCGGAGTCCATCTGCTTTTCGGCTCCTCCGGAGCCTGGGGTCGGAGAAGGACCAACACCTCCAGAGCCAAAACCGGGGAGGAGTTTGTCGCCAAGACAAGTTTAATATGTTCAAATTACTTGGATATCCTGTGGTTCAGGCCATGACATTCATAGTTTACCTTTGAAAAGACTGCGTATCTTGCAAAGGTTGCACTCGAAAGGAGCATGACAGGACCGTTGCATGCAGGGCCTCTTAGATGTGTTCCGTTTCCGATGGCCCATAAGATTCAGCTTCTCGTAGAGATTGGATTTCCCACTCGTGTGAGGGATTCCAATGTCTACGTTGGAGCAAAGCTTCCAGTTCACTTGCCGGATGTCACTAGGACTCTTCCCCCAAAGGGTCAGAGGCCCCATTCGTTGCACAAGGCGCAACATGAGGGATCGAGCTGCCTCTGGGGAACAAGATCAGTTGCAATCAAAACCCGGGTAAATGAAGGTAAGGGACGGTCCCAGCCGTAAATGGGTGCGGCCGCCTTTTCAATTCCTTACATGGTTCAGGTATTGACTATGACTCACTTTGCTCTGCCATGTGCTGGGAAGCGCGGACTGACACTTCGCCGATCTTGCTCCAATGGGTCTGTCTGTTGTAGAGGGAACCCTTTTTGGCGGGTTTGAAGGGAAACCAAAGGAACAACACCATTTGGGGGGTTCCCTAAAAAGAGACACACCCCAATAACTACACAGAACGCTGCCAGGTTCCCTCATAACACACACACACACACAGTCCTCACTCAAGGCAAGGGAACTGATGCCAAGCGACCTTTGGTCCGATGGTCGGGCGCCAAAGGAAGTGGGTGAGTCTCTGTTGAAGCGGGCCTAGCACAACCAAGAGCCTTGCGTAATCAACTGTGTTGCATTAAACTCTTACGCAACATAAGTATTGCGTTGGGCAACATGAATGCGTCCAAGCCATACATGCTGCTAGCTCTTGAAAGCTCAACGCCATGTCATTTTTTCGTTGTGGAAGCATCCTGGCAAAGTGGGCGTGTGCCAGGATTGTTTATTTGTAATGTCACCTCTTGAAACCAAGTGGGAGCCAAACTCCGCTGGTCAAAGCCGATCTTTTGACAATTTGACCTTTTGGTTTTCCAATGCTGGTCCACATATGGACGCCGCTGGACGGCAAAGGGCGCCTTTTTGAGTCTCAGGCTGAAATTTTCGCCTTTGGGAGTTTATGGTTAGTCATGGCCCCAAAAGGTTAACGTTTTTGTTCCAGGTCCCTAAGGGGCAACTGAGCAAAACCAGCCACGGACCACGCCCTGACGTTCCTCCGAGGCCAGATCCTCGCCTTTGCCGCGGCCAAGGGCGCGGTCGTGCGGCCGTAGAACAAATCCGGAAAATAGGGGGGTTTGGATGAGCTTTCCACCGTGGAACCAAATGGGTGTGGCTCGTCAAATTGGGGGGAGCCCGTGTTTCCCTTCTTCCCTCCCTTCGAGTTTAACTTGAAAAGGGCATCCGTACACACACTATTAGTTCAGTGGGAGTCCAGAGTCCCTTGAAGGATATATTTTTGGTCAAAGAGTTCAACCACCTTTTTCACTGGGAATCTACCAGGTGACGTCGAGGTGAATCCTATAAAGGACCCTGGTGACATGCCCTTTGTTCCACCCTTTGTTTCATTCCCACTGGGATTCATCATGCATGTGGCTTGATTCGGGATCAAGTAAAGTTTAGCTGCAGCGTTGAATTGAGTTTTACCAATCCAATTATCTGTTTTAAGCTCATCGCTTCGCGTGATGATTGTGTTTGCCAGAAGATATTTGCAGGTCTTTCTGAGTATTTTGGTTCACCCCTTACGCACCTGACATGCTTGAAGAGTGCTTTGACAATCAATCTGCATGTTGGATGCAACAGCCTGCTTCTTCATTGTGCGGCTACCCCGTACCTCCAGCTTGCAGACACGCCCGTATTATCTGTTCAGTGGTAAGACAACTGAGGAGGAGCATGTTGTCAATGATTAACGAGCGGGTGTCAGTTTCAACTGTGCGCGGAGTGTTCTAGCCTCTTTTGTTCCAACCCCTCGTTTACGGAATATGTGTGTCTGTTTGAGGGGCCTTTGTTGGTGGTTTTATGTGGTTTTATAGGGAGGACAACCGCCATTTTGGGAGTCCCTGTGACAAAAAAACAGATAAAGCAAGCACCCATGTGGAACTACCAAGGTGGTTGGTTAGGCTCCTGCTGGAGGTAAGCTTGTCCCTTTTTTCGAGGATGCTGGGGCTTCCATCCGATTGCCTGGATTGGCGAGACAATGGTTTCGTGGAGCAACCAGTATATCAAATTTGCGCCCAATGAGTCTACCTCATGATATCATCTTGAATTGGGCATGTCTTTTTGATAGGCACCACTTAAAGGTGGTTGGTGGACATGAACCCCCCACGGAATTCAGATGTTCACAAAAGGGTCGGGGCCCCATTGAAATTCATACTCAATCTGGCGCGTTTTAAGTTGTGTACAACAACATCGGAGGGCAGAGGAGAGTTATGGGGAGCGGTATTGAGACGAGTTGGATCCGGTTGAAGTCAGGTGGCTCAACTTTAAGCCAAAAGGAATGTAAGCCAATTTAAAGACACACCTTGGCAGAATTATTATTCATCACGTGACCCCCCATCCACACAGAAGGTATTTGGAGAGACTAACCTCCGAGCGCCTTAACACTTGACAGCTGGCAAGTCTGTTGGGTGCTTCGTGCCGACCAAATGGTTCATGAACATTAGGCCTCACTGTGCCTGTGGGCCAATTTGTTTGAACTTCCATTTTTTGCAAGATTTCTTTTAGTAATTATCCGGGGAATGAAAACAAACAACACATGCTGGAAGCAAATCCTTGAATCTCGCTCAAAATGGTTTCGGGTTGCAGTGAAACCTGTGGCTTGCCGAGAATTCGTGGGACTCCGTCACTAGGGGGTTGCGTCACGGAGCAAAAAAGCACGGCGCAGCGCTGGCAACCTCTGAACGGACGTTCTGGTAGACGTAATCAGCCATTAACAGGATTTAATTGAGGGGTGGTATGAATCAAACTGTTGGTTGCTTATATGTTCATTTGTCCCCCCTGTGGTTGTCTCCTGCAAATTGGTGAACTCCTGTCAGAGGAACCACGAAGCCACAGTTTCTGCCGTGGCCGTCGCAAACAAATGGACATTGTCTGAGGGTCCAGACAATGTCCACTTGTTCCTGTATGGGGGTTTCTGTTGCCAGGATGTGGTTTCCATTGCATGAATGATACCCAGTGGTGCGAATGAATCATCTCATGCAAGTACACAATGTTTGGTAACGTATGCCCTAGGTGTCATAGTCATAGTCAAGCACCTGTTGCATGAACGTGTTGCAGCACAATCGTCTCAACCACCCGTCAAGCGTGCATGGCTCCCGCCTGATTGATTTGACGCGGCGTCGCTACATTTGCCAGACCCCGGGCGCACATTGATTGCCATGGCAAGTAGCCTTGCGAGGGAGTGGTCACCAGTTCTACTTGCATTGTCACTTTAGTGCATTTCGCTTGGACGTTAGGACTTTAACTTTTTGCCAACTAATGGGGTTTTCCGTGAAACCACTAAAACTTAAGCTTTTAGCAGGGGAGCAGAAAGCAACCGAGTCTTATAGAGATCGATTCAGATGGATTCCACCGTGGATCCCCGCAGCCGGCGGGCAGGCCGGGTGAGTGCGCACTTGGGAGTTTTTTTTTTGTTTTTTCCCCTTGGCCAGTAGCATCATTGGGTGAGGGCTCGGATGCCCTTTTCAAGAAACGTGTCGCTCAACAGAGCATGATTGACCTGTCTCAGCAAATAACTTGTTGCTTTGCCTTTCTCTGATGCATTGTCAACGAGAGTTGCTTTGGATCAGTTGCTTGCCAGACAGCCAGGCAGCCAGCCTTCTTCCGTTCGCTCCCGGCGATCCGAGCGGTCTGGGCGATCGGAGCGGTCGGAGCGATCAGAACGGTCGGAGCGCTCGGAGCGGTCTGGCCGCTCCTACATCTCTGCCAGAGCCTCTGCCAAGATGGCTGCATAGCCATGACTGAGCAGGAGTGGTGTCAAACAGCTGGTTTCATTGTAGGAGCGTAAGCTATCTGACAGGCGGAGAGGGAGAGAGCGCGAGATTGAAAAGAACAGAGAGAGGGAGAGCGAAACAAAGATAAGTGTGTGTAGCACATGTTCCGTGGCTGTTTGCCGTTGACCGGACCCGGAGTATTTACGTTTCGTAAGAGCAGAGCTAGGGCGACCGCCATTCCTAAGTGATTCGGTGGTCCACGAGTTGGATTGGAGCGGATTTGGTTGAGGGCCCTGACCCATGCGAGCCATCAGACCTGACATGCGAAAAGCTTCACAGGCAGTCCGACGAAACTGCCGAAAGTCAACAGGTTTGAATGGCGCTCAGCTGGAAATCAGCGGCCCACTGCTTTGTAAACCGAACATTTCCTTCAGAACCTCCGCCGGAGATCAGCAGGACATTGATCGCATGGTTTAGCTCTCAATGGGGTCTGTGGCATAGCATTCTTAAGTCGAACTCGACGCGCAGCTTGCTTCTCCGCTTTTCGCACTTCATCCCGCGATGAGATCATGCTGGCATGAACCCCTTGTGCGTTTGGTCGATATTCACTCAGGCATGGAGAACATTCCCCCCAACACTTACCTCATACTCTCCCGCAAGCCAGGAGCAGTTCAGCAGTTGTGGTGGCTTAGGCTCCGGGCAGCGAGCCGCGAAGGGCCGCCTCGGAAGTGCAGGCGCACCTCTTTCATGCGCACCGCACGCAACCAACATCTAGGGGATTCGCAGATAGTTGCTGTGGATGACCCGGTTGGTAGGTGGTTTATCCCAAAGTTGACAACCATGCCAACAGGAGCAGGATTTAGTCCACTGCAGGGAACAGTCCCAATCAGAAAAAGAGAAGCGGCCGCTCTCTACAATGTTCGGGTTTCTCTATTTAAGGTCTGCAACTGAGGATGCTTTGCGCATACCCCTATGGCCTACCTCCGAATGGGTTTCTTGGTGGCTCCCAGCCATCCCCTTAGCTTTTTAGCCTTTTAGTGTTTAGTGGGGGTTTCCATTTTTCCCACTACTCGTTATACCTTTCGCAGGGGAGCCTAGGTTTTGAAATTTCTGTTGAGGATACTCTCACGATTTGTGTGCAGCGACGCCATGGGAGTCCCCCGTTTGACACGTACCCTCTAGTGTGGCATCCGCACTTGGTTGGGTTGCTTCGCTGTCGGTTCCCTAAGCCAAATCCCACACGGGCAGGGTTCCGCCAGGGAACGCCCGTGCTTGCAGGTATCCTCACGCCCGCAGGCCTGTCCGCAGAGTCCAAAAGGGCTATTTTTGGAGGTAAAACACTGATACCACAAGCAGAGTGTATGTAAGTTTGTCAGTTTGCTAGTCAGTTTAAGTTAGCCACTCTGATTGTTTGATATGTCTAGCTGTGTTTGTTTGGATTGATGTTGTGGGGTTGTGTTTGTGATGTGTTTGGTGTGCATTTATTTTTGTTTTCCCGCGCGCATGTGTGTGTGTGTGTGTGTGTTGGCTTCTTGTGTTTCTGTATTTGTCTTTTCTTGCTTGGTTGCTGGTTGGTTGGCTCGTTTGTTTGTCCTGCATGATTGTCTGTCCTGCCTGCCTGCCTGCCTGCCTGCCTGCCTGCCTGCCTGCCTGCCTGCCTGCCTGCCTGCCTGCCTGCTTGTTCTTTTTAGCTGGTTGGTGCGTCGCGGTCTGTCACCTCCTCGGTCTGTCGGTTCCTCGGTCTGGTAGTCTGTCGGCTCACAGTGTGCCCAACGGGTTTACGGCTGCGTCAGTGAGCTGATTGGTGCTCCACACTGTTCGTTGCGTGTAGCAGTAGGTGTACCACACTGGACCCTACCAAATCAGGAACCCGTGTTTTTTGGAATCGCCGTTTCAGCGATTGCGAGCTGATGCTTGAATTCTTACTGCCTGGGTTTCAAGCCACTTAAAACAATGGGGGGTTAGTACAATCACCATTATTTACCTAAGGAGTTTCATCATCCAAATTGGGTCCTTGCCATTCTTTTCATGGGGGGTGCACCCTGGGGACTGGTCAATCCAAAATTCCTGGGGTGGAATACACCGCCGGATAGCTGCCCCGCAGCCGGCGTTGATGGACTTAGTCCCGCCAGGCGACGCCCCTGTCGCAGGTCGCGTACTCAGGCGCGCCGGAACCACCGGCCCATCAAACTCACGTGCTTTGGGAAGTGTCAAGACATCCAGTTTGTACGGAGTTGTGTGGGGTCAAGTCAAGTCGGATCTTCTGTTCGGCAATCAGGTTCCCTTGTAGCTGGCGCACTCAAGAATGTTCCACACTTGCTTCAGCTCAATGTTGCGGCGTGTTCAATGGTTGCCAAGCTGACTCAGGGCTTGGGATTATAACAAGTCACGGATTTGATCTCGAACTCTCTGCCCGCTGCGTCTCATATTTTCTTAAGCTTCCTGCCCATCAAGGCATTTTTGCTTTAAGCTCTTTTTCTCTTTTGGTCTTTCCCTCCTCTCTTTCTGGCTCTGCAATATTTTGCCTCTCTTTTTCCGCTTGTCTAAAATATACGCCTCTTCCCGTTTTACTTTTCTCGCCGCTCTTCATTTCGCCATTCTCCTCGATCCTTTGACCTTGCTTTCTTTGTGCTCAATCCTCCTCGCTTGTGGCACGCTCGAGGGCTTTAGTCAGGATATTTGCTTTCCCTTGTCATTTGTTGGCCATGGACCCACGTCCAGCTTCCTTGAGCTTCGCAAGAGGACGCAGAAGCTCAGTGCTCTGAGAACCCTCAAGGAATTCTGGCCCCACTCTCCAGCCGCTGACCATTTGAGCTTCTGGCCACTTGTCAACTTGTTCACCTACGTCAGGTAAGTAGTGCGTCATGTTGTCTCAGAAAACTCACCCGAGCTAGGGTACTTGTAGTCATAGTGGCATGAACCACTTGCAGCCATAGGCGTCCTTTTTAAGTTGTTTGGTGGAAAAATAGATGTCCCTGCTTTACCTGGTGGTTTAATCATCTACCAGGGCCATCTATTTGCCCTAAAAGGACACCTATGCTTGCAGCATCATTGTTGTGATGAGAAGATGGGCAATGGCTCGGATCGCTGGGATTCGGCGACTTGTCAGGCCGTGAGCGGCCCACCACAGGTTCGGAGGCCATGGGCGCTTTGGAAATGGGTCGGCGCGAGCGAAGCGACGGTTGCTCCCTGACATTTTCCAATGGTTCCCCCTTTGTGTGGGTTTGAATGCCACTTGTTGGTTCAACTTCAAGTGAGTCTCCCTTTGGTTGTGTTTCAAGGGACATAGGAAAATATGTGTGGCAAAGCCCTATGCATCTGGAGCTTGCCTTATTGGAGTGGAATTCCTTGCCTGAGCCTGACGCTCCCTCTATGGATGCCTGGGGGGTTTGCTGCTGCATTCCTTCTATCCCTTGGCCGCAAGCCATTCCTCGTGGAGCAACATGTTTGTCCAGGTTCTGAATATTGTCAGAGCATCATCAAGTCGGAAGGCACAAATCGTGACTCAGTGGCATCCAAACAGGTTCGCACCCAAATGGGCCTTGGAGTAGCCATCCGGAGCCTTAGCGTGCTAGCTTTTCGCGCAGTAAGGCTTTAAGGTTGGTCACTTTTAGATCTGAAAGCGGACAGCCCGAGGCTTCCACCGCCTCTCGTGGGTCCAGCTCCGGAGGAGTTTCGTTTCGTTGCGGCAGTGGTCCCAGAGTCCACCCTCTGCGCACATGTGGGGAAGAGGGGGGGAGTAAAACATTGAAGGACGGTGTTCCGTACATGTTCGTTTGGTGGATGCAAGGGAAGTAATATAATTAGGGGAGAGGTGAGAGGCCATGTTTTTGCAAGGGACTGGTGGCAAGTCGCGACCATAGGAGATGAGCCGACAGCCTTCATCAACGACTACTGGGAAATGAGCACGTACGCTGGCTCACGCATTTTTGGCCAGGACGCTCTGGCCGCTCTGGCCGTGGCGACGTCTTGCTGGGACCTCGGCTCGGGCGATGCACGCTGGAAGTTGGAACGAGCTTGTGAGTATCGGACTATTGCTGAGTGAGTCCTCCTCCCCAAACGACGAAACATGGCATGCCGTCAACTATTCCCCTCTATGTATTGGTGAATCAGGAGAGTTTGACCAGATCCTGAAATGAAGGTTGATTTTAATCAAACGTTCAAGCATGTGGCCCGCCAACGGATTGTTTTTTTGTTTCTTCGACACACGTCTTTGGAACCCTTTGTAGGATTCTGGCAGGGCGCCTAGCATTTGCTTGGCTCCACGCGCCAAGCCAAGTATGCTTTGCGATGTTGATAGCTTCCTGGCATTTTACTGACCAAAGAGCAGACAAGGGGCGGTTCGGCGCGGCCCGAGCTTGACCTTTTTGCATCCCTTGAACCTGCTTTGGGCGGCTGACCACGTGGTAGACGGGCCCTGTTACACTCTAATTTTCACCTTGCTGAAGTCTCATAGCGTGTTGACATCGGACGAACAAACCTGGGCCCCCAAAGGTGAGACACAAGTCTCTAAGTTTCTTTGACCTGATTTTTCCAGGGGCCCAACACTACGTCTTCCAGTCCCCAGGCCGCCTTGAACCCGGTGAGTCGAATTCCCCCCGCCCAACCTGGAGGCATCTCCGCACCCCGCGGCCCCTAAAGCTCCACGTAGGACAACTCACAAGCATCCCGAAAAACCCCGACCCGAGACCAGGCCTAAGGTTGGGCGTCAGAATCACGGAAATGGAGTAACCTTGTTGCGAAACAAGTGCACTGTGCACCAAAGGAAAACCCTGTGACAACAGACCGCAAGCCTAGTTCAGCTACAAGGCTTGGAAAACCAGGCGAGCCACGCCTGTTCCAAACGGGTTGGGCTTGGCTGTGTTGATTTGTTGGGTCTCAGGCCCTGGCAAGTGCCTACGAAAGCCGTGCTTGGGCATAAGGCTCGGGGGGTCGGCGCTGGCTTCGGAGTCGAATTTTTGTCTCCACGATGTGGGAATTTCCGGGCACATCTGAAGAGTCTGAACATGTTGCGGTGGCTCCCTTTGTTTTGAGGGTACCCCCCCTTTTTGTGGCTCCATAGAAACTATCTTGTCTGTACGTCTCACTTGCCCAAAGCGTATCGACCTTTAGATTTGCCTATATTTGCCTCGTCGGTCCATTGTTGGTCAAGGTTCCAAAAGGTGAACCTTTATTTCTGGGTCCTTTGGTCAACTGAGATGTTACGGCCAGGGAACACTAAATCTTAAGAGAGTCTGAACAAAATTATTTTCTGTGTACAGATGTGAGCCAAGGTTTTTTCTCTGTTTGCTTCAGGCATGGTAGCGCAAACCAGACTTTGAGAAACCTTTCTGGGCGTTCTGGCAAAGAAAATCCCAGAGGTTTCAAGTCTCGAAGCTTCGGGTTGGGACTAGCCCCGAACCGGGCAGGCCGAACCGGGCTGGTTGACATTGGGGTGCCCCTTTCTGTTCATGGTTTTGAGAGGGAAGCGTCTTGTTTGTTCTTGTCACGCCTTTTTGTGTGAGGTTTTAAGAAGGAGAACCGTTGCGCCATTTTGGGAGGCCACACCAAAATTTGGGCTTGGAGCCTTTCCGCATTGCAGGGCTTTTCCACATCAATGGTTTCCCCCAAAAAGTCATAACCCACGTGTCTCTCTGTGTCGCAAGTTTTTATCCCATGGTTGTCGGGAAGTGAAGACCCGTTCCATGTGGCTGGTGTTCTTTGGCTGTCATTCAAGGCATCCAGAGGGTCCCAGTTGGACAACATTGATTACTCGGGTTCCCATTGTTCATTTGGGTGTTTCTCAAGTTGGGGACCCGTCCAGGTATGTGGTTTCCTTTTGGCTTCCCTTTACAACCCATCCAACAGAAGTCCGCCATTTTAGGGAATCCCCCCATATTGCCATTCCTTTATGCTTGTTAGAAGTGCTGTTGCTCTGAAAGACTGACTGTGCTTGCTTAGAATGCAAGTCTTGGACATGTGGAAGGCGGTGCTGTGATTCCTGGGAACTGATGGGCAGGCAATGTAGCCACCACGGCGTTGGCGGACCCTGCTCCTTAAAGCCTTAAAGACGCCTGCCTACGCTCAGTGTCCAGCTGCTTTCGTTTTAGTCCTTTGATTGGACGTAGGAAGTCCTCGCAGGCGGAGTCTGGCTATTCGGACACCTCCAGGCGAGTGGATGGTTTTCCGTTGGACGGTGCCAACTCTTCATTGGTGACATTGCCAACATGCAGCCACGTTTGCGCGGCATTGGTTTTGGAAGTTTACAACAATGTTGGACGCACAGGACCAACATCATTTGAACCACCTGCCCTGGGTCGTGGGACGTGCAGATTATATGAGTGCAAGCATCATTGTCAGTCAAGCACAAAGTGTGGTAGAAGAGTTCTACCATGTTGCGCGTCAGGGCATCAGACAACATGCGTGTGGTGGTTCCGATGTGCCAAGAACTTATGTAGTGATCGCAAGAATCTTGCGACGTTGAAGAGCAAACTGCTCCATCACCAGTGAGGAGTTTCTGAAAATGGCGGACGTCCTTTTCGTTAGTATATTTACAGGGAAAGCCAAACTCCAACCATTGTGGTGGAGCGATTCCTTTGAGAAACACCAAGTTGCCAAAGGACATGTTTTTTCTTCAGTTAACGAGCCGCCTCAAATGTCCTTTGCGGGCCTCACGGACTACCAGGACCCAAGATGGGAACTTGATGTTAAACTGTTACACCAACTTAGGCAGTACTGCTGCGGGTAGACATGTTACGTACCTGGGGGCTTTTGCTGGGGATGTCCTCTCGGCTTGTTTGATTGAGAACTGAAGTCGTCGCGTCCGCATTGCTCAGAGTTCGATGGCCGGTGAACAATCAGGTCGCCCGGGTAAAGCCTTCGGCGTTGAGCCACTTTTCAGGTTCGATGTTTGGAACACCCCATGCGGTTCTTCCAAAGCCGTCCACGGGGTCGTGGGGCTCCTTGGGTTTGAGAAGATGCTTCCCGGCGCCCGGCACCCGGCCCAGTGTCCGCACGGCCACCACTATCCGCGAGTTCTTCGAAGAGGACACTGACGTGACCGTGCTGAGATCAGAATTTGGGGAATACTTTTGTTTTGGAGGCTCGACACCCTGTTTGGGGTGCCTTTTGGAAGCCAAAACGAAAGCCCCAGCTACCCACTTTTTTGGGGATCCCTCATTTTGAGAGATACCCATTTGTCTTAGTTCAGTCGACATGTCATATATACCACATTCCACTCAGGCTGGGAGTACAAAACCTCAGACGTGCAGAAAGGCCGGGTTGTTTGGCCAGGAGCAGCAGTGGGCCAACGGTGACAGGCTGGCAATCGCGTGGTGTGCTGCTGAAGCGGACGAATCTTTGCCAAGAGGGAAACCTGGTTGAAGCGGGAGCATCCAGCACATTGCAAGAAAACCTCTGAGAGTCCTCAATCAACACCAAGCTCCCCATAACAAGTGGGTGTGCCATCGCCGAATCGAACAGGTTGAGGTCTGGAGGCGGGCCGAAATCGCGACACCTCGGCATTGTCCAGGGGTGGGTTGGCAACATGTGTGTTACTTCACTCCCCGAGTTGTGGACGTTATACCCTTATTGGGTTTGGACCATGTTAGCGGCAAAAAGTTCGGACTTGTCCTGTCCAGTCCAATCAAGTGAGGAACTGAATTGAGGGGAGACACCCAACGAGAAACCCAGGCCAAGCAGTGGTTTATGTATGTTCCAACATGTGGCGAACCGTTCAACCGTTGAGAGAAGCGAAACATGGAATCTCACCTTCGAAGGGAAACCTGAGGGGGAAAGCGCATCCTGAATCATCCCACGACATAGTTGGAACCACAGATAACATAGGACATAGGAAACTTGGCAATGAATCATATACGATCATACATACCATAGCCATATCTTTCACCATAAAAACCATACGTAGCCGTAGATAGCAAAGGATCCAGCACTTGCAATTTGTCTTGGGTTGGTCTCTTGATTTCCTCTCCAGGACGGTTTCCACCCATGCGGCGGATAGCTGAGGAGCCAGGCCGAACTCAGCGGGGGGGGGGGCGCAGATATCAAGCCAGGCCGAAGTCTGCAGGGACCCGTAAATGAGATTGGTGGGGCGGGGTCCCTTGAATTTCATGAGCTGTTCATTCTCCCCTGGTAGAAGACTGGAGGTGGACTGGTGGACCCTTCAGTTGATTTGGATGGTGGGCAATTGGTTCATCGTCGCTTGGAAGCACCGCGCTCAGGCGAGGATGTGGCGTCGGGGGCCTTGTTCAAGCCCGCGAGGTTGCTTCGTGGCCTATCGGACAGTTGGAAGCGAACGCCGAAGAAAAATCCACGACAAGTCCGGGATGTATGATCCCGCTCAGTTATTGTTTTCTCTCACCCGTAAGTGGCAACAGGGCCACACATCTACAGCAATAGATTCAGCCCTAAAATTCCAGGTACCTTTTGAAGTGCTTCGCCTTGTTGACCCGCCAAGTACATCCGAAGAAGTACCAAGGCAGTACTTGACTCTGATCATTTGGCAGTGGTTTGTGTCTTGTCAGTGGTTCATAATGTCAGATTTCAGTCAGCCCAAGAATGAAGGATGCCAATAACTTGTCCACAAAATGGCGAGTAAAATCATAGAACCACACAAACTGATGTGCCGGGAGGCGCTTGGATAGGCGGATGGGACCGGTAATACATCAGACGGTTTTCAGCAATCCTTTGGAATCAGCCTGTCCCTCAAACAGACGAAGGGCCTGCGCAAAGGCGCGCTATTGGGACAGCATGTGCAGAACAAACCATACGCTTGGTTTTCGCATGACTGTGATCCAAGTGGTGTGTTTGTGTGTGTGTGTGTGGTGTGGTGCGGTGTGTTGTGGGGTGGGGCAGGGTGTTCCTTTGAGCCAACCTAAAAAGTCGTAGCTTCGGAGGGGTGGCCCAATGGTCAGGTATAGCCATTAGTTGGCGGTTTGGATTAATTAGTGGTTTCGGGATTTGAACCTCGGGTTCTTGTGGAGGGCTAATTGGAAACGGGCCGCTCCATTTCACCACAACGCCACCGATTCGGCTCCGGCCTCCAAACCACCCTTTTAAACGCTGATGAGTAATGAGACAATGACCCCTGTGCATGCCAGAAACATAAAGCCAATTGGAGGGAAGCTCATCGCTCTAGGATACCTTCCCCATTCTTTCCAGGGATCCTTCTTTCCAACAAACCTTCAAACCCGCAGGGAAAACAGCCGGTTTTTGACAAGAACGATGGTTGAACAGAATGGGGAGTCAACCTCTAGAATTGCCCTCCTCCCCTCCTTTTCACCTCCCTGCCTCCCAGCCCCCATAACATAAACATGAAGCCAATCGGAGGGAAGCGGATTTCTCTATAGGGCGTTTTTTGGGTTTCCGGAGGTTTTCTAGAAAGAAGGATCCCTGGAAAGATTGGAAGAAATATGGAATGGAAAGAAGGGAACAAATGCAAACACAAATGGAACCCAGAGGGTCCAAGTACCTTTTGAGGATGGCTTTTGGGGGTAAAAGGGGTCTAAGTACATCCTTAGAAGGTACTTGGACCCTTGGGGGAACGAATGAAAAGGCACCCTTCGAATTTCGGGCTTTCTGGACTCGATTTCGGATCGGATGCAGAGGCCTTGCGTGCTGCCGTGCGTGCCTCCGGGCAAGGTGCCCGGTGGCAGGCGACCGACGTGAACGTCGGGCCCAAGTGGGTGTCTCGTGTTTCTGTTTGGAGTTGGCACCTGCCGTTGGTTGGTGTCAAAGGCGAAAAACAAAACACAGGACCACCGCAATTCCCTGGAAGAAAAACACCCACATGCTGAGAATGGGCTTGTTTCATGAAGCCAAACCTCTTGATCATAAGTACCATGATCAGGAGGTTACTCTGGGATAGGAGACCAAGGTGTTTAGATATCGCGAAACGGAACGAGACCTTCCGGTTTTGAAAGGGTACTGACACGAGAGTGTTGCACGTGGGGGAGTCTCCTTGTTTTGACAGGCATGCAACCGCTTGGGCAGAAACGGTTCAAACAGACAGATTGGGGGTGTTTCAAAACAGGGGGCCCTTTTTCTGGATGGTCTTACAAGGAATATTTGGAAACCACCTACATGGACTGGTTGTCCCCATTTTGAGAAACACCCATATGCCGAACCCTTTCTCGAGGGGACGTAAATGAGAGTGCATGAGAATTCTGAAGCACGAGCGGTTCCAGTGTTCGAACGCAGTGGGACCAGCCTTGCAGCAACCTACACGTTTGTTTGTGTGTGCCTCGCAAACTCCATACTGTTTCATTCCGGTCAAGTTTGAGTTGCCCCTGCCGTGTGTATGTTTTGGTGTTTTTGTTTGCCGGGAGGACAGGGCAGTTGACGTTGCAGCGTTGCAGCAGGCCAGGTTCCTGATACTTACTTGGTGATTCCATTTCCGTGCAGGTAACCAAGGGAACCACCTCAAACCAAAGCCCGGTCCATGCAGGCGTTTGCAACCCGCTCGTGAGCTTTGGTCGGGGGATCTCCGTGGTGCAGTTCGAATATTTGTCAAGGGGTAACTACTGGTCTGTTGGTCATAATTTTCCCAGTGTCAGGCGGGAAGCTGGTCATAAGCGAGGTTACTAGGACACTCGCAGTAAACGAGCGCTTTCTAGTGAGCAACTTCTAGACACACCTGCCACCTGCATTTATTTTATGAAAATTGAGAGAGACCCCAGATGTTTTGAATGAACATGCATAGCTCTGGTTTTCGGAGACACACTGCAAACGAACAACACACACCTCCCCCCCAAAACCCCCCAGCCCACGGAGGTCGGTGGCCAGCCTTTTTTCTTCCCAGTCGGATGTATTATTTATTTCCCTGCAGACTAACATGGGCAAAAGGGGGCTCCCCTAAGAGGAGTTTCCTTTGCAAATGGGTGTTTTCTCTAGATTCCATGTTAATTTATAATTATGAGGAATACTTATCTTATTACACAATACACGAACTATTTTTACCATAGGCTTTGCCAATTATTTTTCGTAATTGTGCAGGCGGCAAAGTTCTTCGGTCACAGGGCCAAACGCAGACCAACGTAAAGCAACGCAACAACATCGATCTAACTGTTTGTTCACGTTTTGCTCAAGCGTCCCACATGGATGTTAGAGAGCACGTATTGTTGCCAAAAGAGACGAAGGCACTCAGCTAGAATATATGTACACATTATATATACAGATATGTATACACCTGTATTCGGAATCTGGCTTGCCAGGGATGTTATAGAAGGAGACAGAGATCAACCGGATTTCATTGAATCCCATGACTTCAAATTACTTTTTCTTCGTCTCCTTATTTCAGATTTTCATCACGATCTGTTTCACTGTCCAACTTACTTCGATAATAATTCACTTCGACTATCGGTCATCATATTATTATTATCCTCCTGATGATGATTATGATGTTGATTGGAGGCAAAGAGGGAGAGAACCTGCACTTCACTGTTCTTGGCAAGTTTGTTGCTTTCAGGTTTCTTTGGTTTTGTTCGTTCCTAACGTTGACCCCGGATTAATGGACCCCTGTTTGTTAATATGGGGCTGTCCCCGGTTTCAATTGGGATTTATCACTTTTGGAGGGGAACACCCCCATATGAACAAACCACCGGGGTTTATGAATCCGGGGTCAACATTAGTTGGCTGCAAAAAAGTAATAACGACGCGTCTCGTTTTTTTTAAGCCCATACCATGCTTGGCTTTTGCCAGGCCGCGAGCCCCGGGCCCTTCCAAATCCGACATCCTCTATGCGCCCGTGGCTCAGTGATCGGCGGCTGCTTTGGGGCGGGGTAAGACGGGTCAGAGCGCCGGCCTGTCAGGGTGCTCGGCAAAGCACACTACTTGGGTCTGGAATTTTCTTCAGGGTATCTTTCGCTTTGGGTTTTGAAGGGACGCAAAGAGGAAAACCACTTTGTTGGGGGTCCCGCTAACAAAAAAGGCACGCCCAGTTGTTGACTACCACCGGGTAAACCGTCGCACTTCGATCGTGGGCCTTTTTCCTCGGATTCGGACTTCGAGGCTTCCCTGTCAGCGGGTTCGTCTTCTTTTTGTCTCACTTCCTGAGGTCCTGGACTTGAGTCACTGTTTTGGGAATTTGGACCATTTTATTGGTAAATAACATGTTTATTGGTTATTTACAAATAGTTATTTGTCATTTTATTGGGAAATATCACGTTTATTGGTTATTTACCAATAGCTATTTGTCATTTTATTGGTAACTAACACGTTTATTGGTTACTTTGTTTGGCCCATGCACTCGATCGGAGGTGAGCCTTCTTGAGGTCACCCTTTTCACTTTGTTTATGAAAGCCGAAGTGGAAATCACGCATCTCAATTCCGACCGCCGCGTTCCCCAAGGGCTTCGGAGGGCTGCGCTCCGGTGTTCCTTGTTATTTTTTTAGTTACTAGTTCGGGTGCCCTGTTTGGGGGTCGTGTGAGGAACAAGGGAAACCACCCAAAACCAAGGGCACCCTAAAACTAATCCAAACCGATGATGTTGTGGTTGGTCAAAAGGCGTCTAGAGTTTGCACGTATATGGTCTGCAGCGCTTGCACTACAGAAACATTGACTGCAATCAATGCCTGTTGGACGGCTCCTTCGTGCATGCGCCGCAGTTGCTTCCCAAAGATCAATCCAGAATCCGGCGATTTGGAGAAATGGATCAGGGTCTACCTTGGCTACTGTGAGTTTCCTTCGAAAAGTATGGGAAGTCGTTGTTTCTGAGCTGTCTATTGTCAGAATATATGCGGGTTTGTCCTTTGTTGCTGTGTTAAGTTGCTTCAAACAGCAGAAAGTGAGACGTTGGCGAATCATACCCCCGAATCATACCCCCGAATCAGACCCGTTCAGAACGTATGCCGCAAGATGCTACCTTTCTCCTGGTGCCAACTGCTACTACTACTACTACTACTACTACTACTACTACTACTACTACTACTACTACTTCTGCTACTACAATTACCACTGCTACTGCTGCTGCTACTTCTAGTGGTACTGCTGCTGCTTCTGCTTCTGCTACTGCTACTGCTATTGCTACCGCTACTGCTACTGCTACTGCTACTGCAACTTCTACTACTACCACCACCACTTCCACCACTGCTCCTGTGCTACTGCTACTGTTGCTGCTACGACTACTACGACTCTACTACCAGTGCTGCTGCTTCTGGTACTACTTTTCCTATTACTACTATGCTGCGATTGCTACTACTACCAGTACTGCTACTGCTGCTACAAACACTACTACTACTACTACTACTACTACTACTACTACTGCTACTACTACTACTACTACTACTACTGCTGCGACTACTACTACTACTACTGCTACTACTTACTACTGCTACTACTACTACTACTACTACTACTACTACTACTACTATTACTAGTACTACTACTATTGCACTTCTATAATTTCTACTACTGCTAGTACTACTACTTCTGCCCGCAGCACGTGTGGTTCACCCAGAGCCACTCTGCTCAACTTTCCTTTTAGATGTTGGTTTCATGTTTGGGGCTTAACTTGCCCTAACCTCAGGTAAGGGTTTAGGTTTAGGCTTTAGGTTCAATCCCTCAGTCTAGAGTTCAGATTTCGGGCTGCGAGTTTTTACACTCAACCTGCCCTGAAACCCGGGGCTAAAGTTCAGGGTGTCACGGGTTAGGTTCATTTTTACTACTCCTACAACAACAACAACAACAACAACAACAACAACAACAACAACAACAACAACAACAACAACAACTACTACTGCTACTGCTACTGCTACTGCTGCTGCTGCTGCTGCTGCTGCTGCTGCTGCTGCTGCTGCTGCTGCTCCTGCTGCTAATTACTGCTACTGCTGCTGCCGCTACCGCTCTGCTACTGCGACTGCTACTGCTTCTGCCATTGCCACTGCTGCTGCTGCTGCTACAGCGCATCATACCTCTGAATCATACCCCGAATCATGCCCGCGAATCATGCCCCGCACTCAAACCTTCGTGCTCGGCCGGTGTAAAGAATACAAACCCACATATACATATATACATATATATATATATATATATATATGTACCAGTCCCTGGGCCACGTACCCCCCCCCCCCCAATGGTATGGTCCCCCCACTCCCCCGCATCATCCGCATCTTGGGGATGATGCTGGCAATGCTGGGGATGCTGTCCAGTACCGTGCGAGCCCTGCAGCTTCGGTCCCAGACCCCCTTTCACCCCGTGAACCAACACCCCCGCACCTCTCGCAACATCCTACCCTAAACCAAACCACCCTGCAACCCCTCCTTAACCCCAACCCTAAGCCTAAATCAACCCAAACCCCAAACCCACCCGAAACCCACCGCAAACCAACCCGGAACCAACCCTGAACCAACCCTAAACCAACCCACCAAGCCTCAACCAACTCCGAACCACACCCCAACCACCCAACCACCCAACCACCCCACCACCCCACCACCCCACCCCACCCCACCACCCCACCACCGCCACCACCCACCCCACCACCCCACCACCCCACCACCCCACCCACCCCACCACCACCCCACCAGGGGGGGGGGGGGGGGCACCACCCACCACCACCCACCCCCCACCCCACCACCCCACCACCCACCACCCCACCCCCACCCCCACCACCCCACCACCCCACCCCCACCCACCCCCCACCCACCCCACCCACCCCACCCACCCCACCCCCACAGGGGGGGGGGGTTGGGGGGGGGAGGGGGGGGGGTCCACGGCCTGGAACATATATATGGACATATCATATACACATTATTTACACATACGCAGTCACAGGTGCCAATTTGCATACATTTATGCGACAATACCTGCCGAGCAGGGTGGTCCAAACTGGGAACCTTAGTTTTATGATAGGACACGTTTCACTTGGACTACTTTCAGGTTGCTATGCCCACCCGGCTCAATTTGACTTCTTGCCAACAAGCCCTTGCGGTAAGTTTCGGCCAAGTGTGTTGTAATTGTTGGAGGGCTAGAACCATGGTCATTTACATACTTCTCGCGTGGTGTATTTTGTTGCATTTCGATGAAACCCGGATCCCTTGCAAAACTTGTTTTCTTTCTTCAACCTGGAGCCAAGCTAGAACCAACTTACAATCCAGTGGTTGCTATGGATTACCCAAACAGTTTCCTACCAGGAAGGAGAAAGACGACGCGCCTAGTATCCCGAGGCCTCGCATGCCCGCGCGGTAAGCCATTTGACACCTTTGGTGGCCAGCGTTGAGTCGATTCCAAGTGGCGACCGAGAGAGGGGAGAGAGGGGGACCCTACAAATCATGGCCTCCGGTAGCCTCTTTTTTCTTGGATCAACCTGCTGTGGCCATCAGGGGCTGCGTGTGTCACTGCTCTTGAGCACACCTTGACTTAACGCGGAGGCAACAAGAACCTGACTCCTAGCCGCTTTTCTTGGTGCAGCCTTCGCGTTGCCTGCACACCCTGGGTTTCAAACCACCATTAAAACAAACGGGGTCAATATAACCACCATTATTTGCCTAAGGAGTTTCATCATCCAAATTGGGTCCTTGCCATTCTTTTCATGGGGGGTGAACCCTGGGGTACAGCTTGGTAAGGCTTGGAGAAAACCCATGCCTCATCTCATGGTGCCACGGGCGCCTCGGAGCAAGTCATTTATCACAAGATCAATCGGCCAAGGCAGGTGTTTGCGGACTTCAAACATGCCACATTTAGAAGCATCGAGAGCTGACTTCGAGGGCCACGGCATGTTCTTGATTTGCGCTTGGAGCAAGACTCTTCAAGCCGCTCCCCCTTCTGTGAATTCGTGTGCAGTGCTGTCTCACTCTGGCGAATCAGCGTATTTGTTTGGAGGAAAAATTGTCCCTTTCGGGGCAGGGGCTGGGCAAGTCAACAGCTGATATTGACATGTGGAGCCGTTAAATGGCTCATGTGACCCTCATACTGCCGGCCGGGCCCGAAACAAACAACAGAAAATGAACCATCCAGCCTAAACCGATTCTGATTTCATGGGGGCTGGGGGGGAGGGGAGGGGGAGGGAGCCCAAATAAGCCCTTATATTAAGCCCTTAACAAGGCCTTACTTAGGAAATATTTGGGCTCCCTCCCCTCCCTCCCCTCCCTCCCCGCCCCATCACCCATGAGGATTGACACTTTACCGGACCAGATTGAATGTGAAGAGCGCGCGTTCCAGTGGAGAACAGGTATTCTTTAGGTGGCAAGTGCATCCAACACCCAACGGAAAGCTGTCACAGAGAAATGTTTCCATGGCAGCTGAATGGCCGGCATCAACTGCTGTACAATTAATTTCGATTGTTGCTTCTTCGCATTCAAATCCCACAGTTTGCTTCTAGGTGCGGAGTGATTGTTGCAACTTATCGCTCTCCATCAGATTGTCCTGCAGGCTAGATGGGAGCCTGCAGGCTTGAACTGGGCATGAACTCAATCGCCTGCAATCATCTCCCAGCCTCAGTTGGCACCGCTCGGCGTTGGTTGGCTTCTGGATTTTCCAGCTTCAAGTTCGCCGGCAGTTCCGTGCAACAGACAACGCCGCTTTAAGCGCCACCAGCTTGATTTCATGTAGTACCCCTGATTCGGATGAGCCTCCTGAAGGTGCCAGGGGCGACGCCTTGAAAACGAAGACGCGGAAGCCGAGACGCATATGGATGTGGCTCAAAATTAAACAGCAGGGGTTACGCAGGTTTTGGTCCATGTTTCCACTTACCAGGGTTCCATTTTGGCACCGGTTTTTTGAGCCACAGCCATATTCTAAGTCTTCTCCAGAGTGGTGCCCTGGTGGTCGGTTTTCAAGGGCTCACAGGACCCAAAGCTGCAAGATGCTCCGCTGTACCTGTGGCTCGAGCCGTCGACTGAACAGAAGGTGCTCCGGATGTGGCGCGCATCGGCATCACGCCTGGAAACCAGTGGAACAAGAGCCTCCCACAGTCAAGCACTAGTGCCACTGCCAGCACGGAAAAGAGCCAACAGCAAGTATGATTGGTTTTGTTTCAATAGTACGCCGCCAAAGCTGCCGAAAAGACGCTGGTACTCAAACATCAAGTGCCCCGATTCTAGCTCCGAGCGTTTTGATTATTTTGTGCAGTTGCTACACGCAGGCCGACTCGAAAGGAAAGGACTTGAGCTCTTAGGACTGCGTCAGCTGAGTTTTGCAAGGCGCGAGCGGGCGACACTCCTCTGATGGCCAGGGTGGGGTTTTCTGAGGAGACCAAGAGGTTCTTTGAATGATAGGGGTTTGAACGTTTGGCCAGGGTCAAACGAGTTTCAAGCAGCGCAAGAGGTTTGAATGATAATGGTTTGACCGTTCTTCAACAATGTTGAACAAGGTGCTGGCTGCGCCCTGACAGGGGCATTGCAGGTTGGACCAGCCCAGGAAGCAGTAATTCCAGAAGGATGTGTGGACGTCGGTGGAGGTTGTTGATCACAGCGTTTGTGCTGAAACTTGATGAATCTCACAATCATGTGGTGCTTCCGGCTGGTGCTGCAGCCCTTCACCAAAAACGGACAATCTATGATTGGGTCCCTATTTGCACTGGCATCAAGTTATTTCGCGCCAGAAGCAAAGATGTGGTTTTCATGATTTTCTAAACGACCCCAGTAACCTAATTCAACACAATCATAGGAAGGTCTCTCATGTCAAGTTTACTCCAATCATGTTACTTTTTGACACTTTGGGAAGCGCCGTGTATTGGCGGTGTTAGGGCTCTGATGCGGTGTCACTTGCTTGCGTGCATGTTGAGCTCACATTTCAGTGCGCTTCGCTGGTTCAAGAATTCCTTTGTTCCTGGTCGGAATTATTGTACTAGTTGACACACTGTTGAGTATCGATTGCACCTAGATAGCCTGTGCCGGCGATTCTCGGAACGAACAAAGAGCATAAACCAAAGCGCACAACGCACAAAGCACCTCACAAACATGGAGCGGGGGACATGCTGGAGGTCTTCGTCCGGACAATGCTGGCTGGTGCTCAGCAGGGAATGACCCAGGGTTTGCGAATGAACCGGAAGGGGATTCTCTTAAAGGCAGCCATAGGGGATGATTTGTAGGGGTTGGTCATTCCATCCCTCATTCCCTGCCTATCGAACCAGCAAGAATGTTCCCAGCCGGACGATGTCTTTGTTTTCCGTGACCAGCGTCAGATGGTCACGGAACGTTTGATACTTCGGCGCTGGAAACTCCAGGCATGCTGAAGCAGTTTGTTTTGGTTGGTGACTACAATAATAGCCGAACATTATATATATATGGGGGTTGATCAAAAGGTCCTTTACATGGGATGACCATTGGGGGAAACCACTAGCATGATGACATTTCCCACTGATGGGAAAAGTTACCCATGGGTCATGTGGGGGCCAGGAATTTTGATCAACCCATATATATATATAGATATGATAGTATATGGGCTCTAGGCATGTAGATTGCTCTTACTGCGTCGAATCAAGTCCATCACGTCGTTTGCTGGGCTTGCCGTGGAGTAATTGCTCACCGAATTGAGAGTGCAAGCTGTTCAACTATCTTCCAATTTGCTTTTTAGAATATGTTTATATTCGCCGGTTGGTTTGCTTATGCTCAATGAGATTTGTGTGCGCGATAGGCAGATGCTTTGGATGCGGGGCCCCCTCCGCACTTGGCCTCTTGGCTTGAGGAAGGGCGGACTGGTTTGAGCAGCTGATTGTGGGGTTTGTCGATCCTTGGCATGTCGCAAGGAAGCAAATCACTAGGGCCCGCATTAAAAGAATGGATGACCCAATTTGGATGATGAAACTCCTCAGGTTCTAACTAATGTTGGCGGGCTCGAAATTGGACACGTGGCCATTGGGAGAGGACATTGTCAAGTCCCTTTGCGGGGAAAGCCAGCGCCAAATGTGACCTGGTTTTACGCTTTTGAACCCGACCATTCTTGGTCATAGTGTCATGGGACAGCCGAAGCTATGTTCTCTCTTTGGGGGGCAAGCAAGCAATAAGCATGTCTGCCACAATTCATGGATGCTCAGTAAAGTGTGTAATGAGAGCCAGATGGAGTCACCTTCAGGGCCGTTGCTTTTTCTTTCAGCCCTGGGTTGGCTGGACCCAGAGCGAGCCGGGGCTCTGCTCCAGGTCTTGGGCATGAAGCGGCCGGCATCCAGTTCTGCTGGGCCCTCAAGCTGCCACGTTTATCTGACCAACCTGGTTTCAGGCCAACCAAAAGGCACCATTTGTGGCTTCATATCTACCTGGGTTGGAAAAACCGGGGCATGGATTCCATCGGCCAGACTTGGCTTACCTTTTGCCTTTTTGGCCTTCCTTGATTCTCCTTTCAACCAGCAACAAGTTTACTTTCTGGTTAAGCCTTGCCCGGATGTTTGTTTCGGTGAGCGAGCCAACTATGGGGGTCGTGTCCTTTTATTTCCGGAAAAGAACGGGCGCGTGTCAACTGTTGGAAGGTTCAGGCACGTGCATATGGCATTCAGTATACATGTGTGTAGAAATATATACACATATGTATTCCATACAGAAAGTTAGCATGCGCATTCTTATGCCACGTCAGATTCATGCCCTGCAGCCCACACGAACATGTTTTAGCATCTTTGACAGAAATCGGCTTTAGCAGTCTGTGAGCATTTGTAGTGTTGCTGGCTGCACTTTATGTAAGTGCGGCCCTTCAGACTTAACTACGCTGTATGCCACGTCTCCATCTTGGAGGCAGCGTGTGACAGTTACCTTGCCCTGTTGCAGCTTTCTCAGCAAAAATGCAGAAGCCGAAAATGCACGGAAAACGTTGGGCAATGTACGGACTTCCTCTTAAATGCACGGATTTCATGTAAATCAGGAACCTTGCCAAACAAGTGCGCTTTGGTTGTCCAGAATATATGTATGTATATATATATATGTATATGTACATATATATATATGCATGTATACAGCACAGTACTCTCCTTGCTTCCGAGGCGCAGGAACCTGGTGCGAAACGCCGCGCGATGGAGGACGGGGCTCGCCCCCGTGCCTCGTGTTATGCTCCCCATAGCGGATGTGTCCTCTTTTCAGGATTTGGACCTCACAAAAGGCGATTTTTCCTGTTGGGTTTCCCCTTTAAAACCACAACCAAAAGGGTACCCTAAAAAAAACACCCATCTTGACATGGAACCGGCAAACAACTGCCATTTGTAGAGAAGTCACCTTAGGGGGGACGGTGTTCGGGTTCCATGTTATCGATTAAAGCACACCACGGTGCAAGTAGATGTCACAGTTCCCGCGATGTGGTCAGTAAACCTGGATGACTAAGCGAACATGAGAGTGTTGTGCTATCTACTTTCACCCGTTATTTCCAGCATGCCTGCGTGGTTAGCTCTTTGCAGCAGACCGCATTTCGAAATTGTATGCACCTGGGAGTAACATCACTCATGCTTCATGGATGCCTTGTTGCTAGATTTCAGCAGAGGCTTCGTTATTGATGATTGGGCGAGGGCATTTCCCGACTACCTGAAATGTTGGCATATCACCGTTGAATCTCCTTGACCTCAAAAAGAGTGAGGGCATGTTTTGGGCCCCAAGTTGAAGCAAAGCGAGGATCAACAATGATCCTTGCATCGCTGCTGAAAGCTTCCAGTGCTGCTTCTCTGGGGAAAAAGTGTCACAGCTAAAAGGAAGCACACATGTTTAAAAAAAGAAACACCTCTAGGTGGGTGCATGTTTCTTTCAAGGGACCCCCCAAACAAGGTGATTTTCCTGTTAGTTTGCGTTTACGAAACAAAAAAAGGTGGGGTGCCTTCAAAAGAAGACACGCCCAGGCGGTGGATTTTTGTACTGTCCCCGTACGCAGGCTTGGGAATGTTGGACTTGGTGGCCGGGACCCAGGGGTCGCTGGATTTCCCCAAATCGAAAGTTGATCAATTCGTTGGTTTCCATGGAAACTGCAGCTTTTGGAGGTTCCAAAAAGGGAGATGGCTCAATGGCTCGGAAACCCAACACATCTTTATCGGCAGTTGTGCAGAGCGAATCGACCAGATCTGATCGTGTTGGCAAACGTGTTCTTTGCCATGGCACCCAAAAGCCCAAGCTTTCATTTCCAGGTCCCTTGTGTGCAAGTGAGTATCCTGGTTGGCCTTTGAACCACGTCTGGGAGCACGGAGGCCCCATGGCCGATGTTCGAGACTCAAAATGACGCCGTCATGGGAAATTGTTCGGGTTCATTTTGGACATCACCAAATCAAGCAGTCCGTCCCCAAACCTCGGCGGTTCCCGGCCGTCCCCTTAAGTTGCTTCGAACTTAGTGGGTTCAGTGGTAGTTAAACCACCAAAAGACTAAAAGCTAATCACATTGTTGGCCGGGCATCTGAGGCCGTTTAGAGTCGTCGCAGCCAGGAGGTCGAGGGACCTTCGAGCCTGGATGAGGCACGGGTGTGACCGCTAGTTGGCTTTGGTAGAATGAACATATGAGTATCCAAAACCGTGTTTTTTTTTGGGGAGGGTTATAGGGTTTTTGAACGCAGGTTGTGTTTGGCTTGTTTAGAAATCGTACTCAGCCTTTGGTAGTTTTGTTATTTGAGTCGGGCATCTTCAGCTGTCAAGGGTATCAGGCATGCAATGCGCTTATGCTCACTGCCCCAACGGTCAAGATGCATTGACGCTTCAAACTGGTAGTTTGGTGTATCCCTTGCCCATCGCATTCCATTGTTGGAAGTAGCTCACCTTTGAGCATGCCGATCCGGGAGCAAGAAGTTAACTTTTCGCTGGGTCTGAATCTGGCCCAGGTTCCTCGATGCCATGCATGCGTGCCGCAGGCCTTTGACCAGCTGGCTGAGAGGTATCCCGATCGGCCTGCAGTTGAGGAGCGTTTCAACCGCTGGCTGGTTCATTTCAAGGTTTACTTCTGTTGATTTGTTGGGTGAGGGGACCCCGAAGTTTTTAGAAGCCCTTTCCAGACTTAGCACAAGCCGCACCATCATACCATCATGGACCATCCGACATCGGATAGGGTAGGACATAAGTTGGTGGCGAAATGACTGCTAGTGGTCAGACTCTTCGACCCTCATGGGTTCATATGGGTGGCCTCCAGGTTCGGATGAACACAAGCGTCAAGCTTGTCATACTGTGGATCTTTTGGCGCTTTGCTCTTAGTGCATAGATCACAGGTGGATCCAGCGTTGCACGGCACCGGACATGATCGTGTGACTGAGCAACAGAGGGCGCTCACCTACGGTGAGCGGAAAAGAAAGAAAAAGGCCTCACGGCGAATTACCATCAAGCCAAGCCGGGTGAGCCCCGGGTTTGGCTACCACGAGGTCCAGGGGGGACCTCAAACTACGGGTAACCCCATCGGGTCGGATGAAGTACCGGCGCAGGACCGAGGCAGCCTCCAATCCAGAGGTGAGTGCCGGTCTCTGCAAGAGGCCGGGTCTGGGAGTGGAGTGCCCAATTTTGTGTAGGGACCATGAGGCGGTGCCAGTGCCACAAGGCCACAGATTGAAGTTAAGGCGTTTCTGAGTCTGGCTTAAGAAACGTGTCCAATTGCAACTTTGCGTGGCAAGGCTACGGTCATCACAAGAGTCGGCCTCAATGGAGAGGTCACGGAGTTCCCACCTTCCCGGGTCCCTGGAGGTGGCCGAGGCAGGTATGAGATTAACCGGCATGCGGGATCCGGAGAAAAGAATGAAGTCGACATAGAGTTCGAGGAAACTGATGTCTTCGCCAGCACAGCGCGGTGGGTCAGGCCATGCGAGGCTGTTCCTCCAAGCGAGGACCCTCCAAAGAAAGATTGCACCAAAATTGGAGGATAGGATTTTCTCCCTGGACAGGTCAATAGGGAGATGAACGTACGGGTGCGCAGCAACAAGGTCGGAGAGGGAGGGAAGGTTATTCACCTCAAATTCTCTCTTGGATTTGGTAGCTGGCTTGCTATCTTTGACAGCAACAAGGGCAATTTTGCCCAGGTAGGCAATGAAATCGTTGTACACTTGCCTGGTAGCTGCATGCTTGGTGGCCGCACGTTGGTGTGCAAGGAACAAGGGCCTATGCTGACGTTGAACGCATTGCTTGGCAGCCTGATCAGCCAGGTCATTCCCTTTGGCTAACCATCTTTCCCGGGGGCACAAAAAGGAGTTGATGTCTTGGTGGGCTGCAACTTTGGTAATGGTGATGCAGCCTATTGGCCGAGCAGAAATTTGGGCATCGATTTGGGACAGGATAGGGTCAATGCGCAGCTTGGCCTTTTTCCCTTCACCAAGGCAGTCCAACAGGCCTTGGACTACGGAGACAACTGCGCTGCAATCGCAGTAAAGGTGTGCAGACCAAGTATCTTGGAGTGCCAACAAGATAGCAAACAGCTCGGCGCGAAAACTATTCTGCTCCAAACCAGGTACCAGATCACAGGACACAACCCTACCCGATGACCAGTCTGGCTCGAGCTGAACCACAGCACCAGCTGCGAGGGTATATGAATGGTCCTCCTGAAAGAAAGCCGACCCATCTACAAACAGGTGGGTGGAGCTAGAGTTGGGAGCAGGGATTTCACAATAGGGCAAAGGTCTACATAAAGGTGCGCGTAGGGTATGGGCATCAGGGTCTGCCGGGCACAGTGCAAAAGTTTGGCAGGCAAGGGGCCACTTCTTCACTGCCCTAATGGTGCTGGAGTGGTTGGCGCGGATGTGATCAACCGCAGGGCAACGCATAATGCGGTGGAACTTGCTGTCAGGCTCACCGCACAATGGGCAGGAAATGTCGGTAGGTTTATACTTGGCCTGAAACTCGTGGGTGAAGAATTTGCCGTTCATGATGGTGCCAATGAGGCTTTGCTCTCTGGGGCTCACACGCTTCATAGCCGCTACCGCGGCATAAGGATCAAAAGCACAAAGCTGGAAGTCCTTACGCGTGCAGCATTTTCGAGTGGCATATTGGATCCAAGCCGGATAAAGCTGCTGCCTGAGAGTTTTGATGGTGCAGTCCAGCCATTCGATGGTGAGGTTGGAGTCAGGGTGGACCAGGATCCTAGGGTCCTCAGCAAACCTCCACCCGAAGCGTTTCAGGGCAGTCACAAGGCTCCAAACCGGTCCTTTAATCTTCCCACTGGTGTTGGAAAGGAGTGTGGAGAGGACGTGGTCGGTTCGCTCAGGGAAGGCGCGGGTGTACTGCCGAAAGGACCTAAGGCGAATGATCGCATCTTTCCACTGTGGGTCGAGCCCAATGTTTTGGGTGTTGAGGGCAAGCCAGGAGTTGGTGCCAGGCCCCCTTTTTTCCGAGGGCTGCCGCAGTGGCGGTTCTGATAGAGTGAAGTTCACTCTCGGTGACGCTGTGGGCACAAATGCCATAGGTGGCCTTGGCTATGCCGGCAGTCTGCGCCATGGTGGCACGGAATTTTTGTGGGATAGGGGCCCTACGAACTTTATCCAACTTAACCCTAGCGGCCTTGATCCTTTTCTTAAAGGTGGCCTTATGAACTCTTTTTGAATAAGACATGTGAACTCCAAGGTCTTTGGCATGAAGTTTGATGGGTACCTCACCCTCGTCGATGTAAGTGCCCTTGAGTTCACGCCGGAGTTTGGCGGAAGTCGCCCAAAGCCAGCTTTTGGGTGGGGAGATTTGCATGCGGAGGGAGTGAACAAGTTTGACAACATGGTCAAGGCCGGCACGGAGCTCTCCTGAAGAGTCTGAGATCAAGGCCCAATTGTCGGCATAGCACGCAACATCACAGGCAGGTGAATTGGCTTGGAGGACGCAACCAACCCAATGGGCGATGGCGAGCATACAGGTAACGGCAAAAGCGCAACCTTCAACCACGCCAGTGGTGGAGCCGGAAATGGGGCCGCAAGTGCGGTTGATCTCGAAAGTTCGTCTCATGCATTTCATCATGCTGCCGAAAGCGTGGAGGCATTTGTCGGGTACCCCCATCTTTTTGAGCAGTCTGAGGAGAGGACCTCTGGGTATCGTGTTATAACATTTGACTAAATCAAGAACTGCACCGCATATGGGTTGCTCGAGGAGGAGGGCTTGCTCAACCTGCTCGGCGGTCCACATTGCAATCAAGTCAGCACCCACTCCCTTAGCTGGCCCCGCTATGGGGGTGGGGATGACCTTGATGAGCTGGGCTGTGACCTGTTCACTTCTGATTTTGGCCCAAAGGCGATAGACCCGACTAAGGACAGTAATGGGCCTAATATCAAGGGGGGATTGCGGCGCGTCACCCTTGTTTAGGCACATGGTCCTGGCGAGAGTCCAGATGCGTGGCCAATCATCACCCTTTTCAAAGGCGCTGTATAGCCGTGTGAGCATATAGAGGTTGTGGTCCGGCTGACGTCGGATGTCGAGGGTGGAAAAACCACAGACCCCTCTACCACTGGCAATGGCTGTGTGGTGGATGGCACGCCGGACATCTGCGACACAGATGTCGGGTACATCAAATTGGGGGCAATCCGGTATTTCATTTAGGAGCGCAGCAGCGTCATTCCACTGAGGGTGTTCAAAATTGGGTGGGTCTCTCTGAAAGAAGGGGGCCCAAGCATCACGAGTCTTGGCATGCATGGCACTGGTGTCAATGGTGACACAGTGTTGTGTGATGGTGCGGACACGATTCCGCAGGCAAAGTGGCTTGTCAAGTACCACATATGATGCATGGGATTGGAGGACAGTGGCATCCTGACCTTGAAAACTAACAGGCAAGTTTTCGGTAAAATCGTGGCCTGCAGGCAGAGGGATGATGCACCTGCCACGCTTAGGCCACGCAACGTTTTTGACAATGGAAGTTTTGGTGTAGTGTACCTCGGAGAGGGGAGCAGCAGGGGCATCACGGACCTCGCGGAAGGCTCGCTTAGCACCTTTTGCGACATCGGCAGCGATCTCCATCCGCTTGGTCGAAGCCCTCTGGATGAATTTAATTTTTTCGGCACGGGTGTGGGCTTCATAGAAGCCATTGCATATATTTTTAACTGCACCGCTGGCATGCGGGAGTTGCGGGTAGGGTAAGCCTAAGTGGGTGGCAACCCAAAAAGGGAACCCCTTATGGAAACCGGTGGCCGAAGTAATGGCCGCCCAGAGGTCGGCAATAGCACGGGAGGCACTTTCACACGGTCGTTTCTCCCAAGCCTCAATTTGTCTGACGCAGGACTGGAGCCTGCGCAGTTGCCTAGTGTGCCTGCGGGACTCAACATCTGGCTGGTCCAGGAGTGGCTCAAAGTCACCATCCCTTGCAAGCCTAGCCAAGGGGGTGGTGGGGGGCTTAGGTTTCACAGGGAACTTGTCAGCACGGCCAAGGTGGTGGGGTTTGACAAAAATGCGATGGCCTTCAGCATCAACGGCACTCTCAGAGAGGGTTTGTTCCGCCACACGCGTCCAAATTTTGGCCGCTTTTTGGGTGTCGGCACAGGCAAGTGCATGTTCAAACTGTTCTGCAAAGCAAGACCATTTGGCGTCTGCGCACTTGTCAGCAAGTTGCTGGTCAATCAAGTATCGGTCAAAACTCGGAGGCAAGGTCCAAACTGGCACTGTGCTGAGAATGTTGCGTACACGAAAAATAGCCGAAAGCAGCGGGTGGGCATCGAATTGAAAATTAGGCCGGGTTCGGCATTCAACAAGATGCGGCGCAAGGGCCGCGTTGGCCAGGATGTAGGAATACCGGGTGGCATCCTTGCGTGTCGGTTCTAGGGAGTGTCCGTGCAACTGACCAGAGAGGGCGGCGCAATCCTTCCATCCCAAGGTGGCAAGGGCGTTCCATGTGGGGATGTCGTGAAGGTCACAATTGAAATCTCCAATAATAGCAACCGGACCGTTGTGGTTGATGGCCCTAAGGGCAGCAACATCAAACAAACGATTGGTGATGGCAAGGCCGTCAAAATGTGAG